CCATTGCCTGAATCTCATTGACAGCTATTGTTGACGAGCAGCTACTACTTTGAAAACGATTATTTTCGGTCGTTGGCTCTACAAGTCAGTGTGACCACTTAAGTTTACTTTAGACCCGCCCGCTGAACAGTTGAAACGAATCGTGCTAGACAATGGGGGACAATACCATGTTTACGCTACAGACGAGAGGACTCACGTCATTGCATCGAATCTGCCGCATTCTAAACTATCTCGATTGAAGAGTACGGACAAAATCGTCCGTCCGGAGTGGATAATGGACAGGTAAGGTGTCATGAATGCGCAGCCTAATTAAAATTTTGCTTTTCGAGTAAACTGTTGAGTTAATTTCGGAATATCAGTGGTGCTTAATGCAAACTTGTACTTTTTTTCTTTCTTGTACGATTGTATTCTCTGATTGCTTACCTCAGTAATCCGTAGAAACGCGTGTTCAGTCATGTTTAAGGCAAAAACCAACGGTTTGACTAAGGTCAGAGTTCGTAAAGTCATTAAAGCGTCTGACCGAGAGGTCCCGGGTTCGAGGTTTGGTCACGTCATGTCACTTGCGTTTTTGTCCTACCTTGCTGATCAGTGAATGCCAAACTATGAAGATTTAAAAGGAGTCTTTGCACTATCTTTGCCAGCTCTGACGTTAAAATAATCCAGTGCTGACGAATGTATTGGAGATGGAGGTTTTCGCCGCACTATTAACTTAATGAAGATGACGATGACAGAAATGTTCCTGCTATGAAAGGATGAGGAACTCGGGAACTCGAGAATTGGGATGCCTATCAGTAGAGTTAGGTACTCAGGTAAGGTAAGATGCTCATCGGCGTGAGGTCTGGTGGTCTTTCTCACTACTGACTCTCGCCAGTATACCACTGCGTTTGCTACTGAACATTGTTGTAAAGAAGGAAAGAATGTATGAAGGTTTTTTCTGTCACCATTGATACGCGAGCCCCTGGTTCAACGAATCGCACCAGGTTTGCAGGTAAAAATGGTACCTAAAATGGGAACAATGTTAATTAGAGTCTAATTGGAAGAGTAGGTTAGAGCTAAGGATAATTAAGGAATTAATATTTACTGTCTGAACTGGATTGCCAAAAAAATAATACCATTTTAAGCAGAATAAATTTAGAAAAAACATGAATTAAGGCATAATACAAAACAGAATTGCTCTTGCATTCTTATAGCTAATTCTAAAAAAAAAATCAGTGAGCAAACGGAACTTCCGGTGAAACTAGTACAGTATCACAGCAAAGTTAATACAGACAACCTGGAATAAGACTGTCACAATGAGCAAATTTACTTATTGTTTAACATTAGCGAAACGTTGCAGAGCGCCCGCTAGATTCTAGATCTTCGATATAGTTCGGTTCTGGCAAAAACATTCTCATAGTTGGATGCAATTGATGACTTCTTCGCCATACAATGGGAGAGTCTGTCATGCAGTAAATTGCTGCTATTCTTCAGGATGTTCGTTCTCATTCTAGTGCCATGAGAAACCACTACATCAACATCTTGTTTCAGTAGATCATTTTGCGAAAGACTACTTTTTTTAGACATTTGCTTCAGTGATCGCCTCAGCGCCTTGAAGTCGCATGTCAACAGGCCTCGAAAGATGACTGCTGATGCATATGTATAAATTGTTAGAATAGATGTAAAGAAAAATTTGCTAATGGCATCCTCTAATGCATGAATATTTCTCAGACATGAAATGAGACCCTAAAACATCGGCTCGTAAGTGATTATACTTGTGCGTTTACGTAAGGTCAGATGACAAAATGCCGCCTTCGATGACGTGAGGTGACTAAAATTATTACTAATATTCGTGTATGTCAGTGCAAATCGAATGAGACATGCACGAATATTGACTTCTTCGTATTTCGCACTCATGAAATGATAGTTACTGATGGATATGATTGTATAAAGTCGTATACATTTGATTCATATTTCAATAGTTTGGTATGTAGCCTGTTATGTTCAGATAACCAGACTTGCTTTGATTGTTTTACTTATATATCTTGCATAACTTTGGCTTTAGTCTTGCAGCTGGCTGTCTTCTTCCAGAACGAGACTATCGTTTGCTGCGTACGGAGAATATCGAAAAATTTTGTGAAAGCGTTCCCGGAACATCAGAGAAGGAATTCAGTGCCGCTGCAACGTCCTCGTCCAAACAATACACCAGATCGATCCCTGCAACGAACGATCCGAATTTTTTGTCAGAATTTTATAAGAAGTCTCGCCTGCATTTTCTATCATCTTGGGGTCAAGAGATGAAGAAGTTCGTCCAACAAATTCGTCAGACCTCGGACAGAACTTTTAAAGGGCGAGAACGTTTGAAGACCTTCCTATCAAAGATAGGCAACGATCAACAGTTAACCGAAGATGATGAATCTGTATTATCGTTTCCGTCGCACGTGATGCATTTGGACATGGACTGCTTCTTCGTATCGATCAGCTTGAGAAATCGACCAGAACTAGAAAACTCCCCTGTAGCCGTCTGTCATTCCAGCGGGCGAGGTCAAGACGAGAAGAAGTCTTTTGCTGAAGTAGCCTCTTGTAACTACGTCGCAAGGCGGTTCGGCGTAAGGAACGGAATGTTACTTGGCAATGCACTGTCATTATGTCCTTCGTTGACAATCATACCTTACGATTTTGATGCCTACCATGCAGCTTCGAAAATCTTCTATGAAATCGTCACCAGGTAAAAAGTCTTACTGCACTTTCTTTTTAAACAAGTATCAATTTTGCAGTATTAGATGCTTCACCACTCCTCAGCGTTTTCACCTTATTTTAACAGCGATGTTTTGTAGCATCTCCATCTCTGATATAAGATTCGTATTTTCTCGAAAATGCTTGACTTTATTGGAGAACAAACGGTGATTTAATTGCAGTGCGACTGACCCTCCGTAAAACTTGAGACGTAAAAATTATGTTGTTGTTTACCATAATGTAGGTGTTACGAACAATGATCAAATTGATCTTTAACCATGTCGTTAGTTCAGATCAAAGCAAATTCTACCGGAATTTTCTGAAGGTGTGTATTAACAGTGCGAACATTGCAATAACTAGCAAATACTGGAAATAAAAGGAAAAATGAGATTATGTTCATTAAATCCGAAGCCAGTCAGATCAGCGCTGATTAAATCAACTGTTTATTATATTAAAATGTTATTATTTTGTGTACTATGATTATACCCACAAGTATTTTTCTATGCTTTTCTTTAATGGCCTTTTATTGTTATGCAAATTTTGTTATATTATGCAAGTTAGTTATGCAGCCACTGTAAAAATTGGATGGGTATGATTTTGATCTGTTGATTATATTAAAAAATGCAGAATTTATCTTCTTGCACCAAGTTGCTTTCGCGAATATGGTAGCGTTCGCTGATCCAGTGTTCGAAAACAGAAAGCTTCATTTATTCGCGTTCTCTCCTGTGATATTACAGTGCCAAGGTATTTAAAAAAGGTTTACGAATTGCACCCAATTTAGAATGAAGGTCAAATAATTAGGTTAGCTGACGATCGTTGGTATTCTTCTTTAAACGGTACATGTCATGGCTGCATCGCATCGGTCGAGTTGTTGGCAGAGCGAAACAGATTGGTTTGTTGAATTGAATGAGGCACCATTACGCTGTGCTGTTTGCTGCCATTTTGAGTAACATTCAAAATAAACATAGACAACATAAAGCACAGTTCATTTATACACAACGGACACCATATAGTCAATTCCCTGACTGACTAAGACCTAGTTCGACTCATATCTCAGGAGTCTTCTAAAAAGAGAGGTGAATGAGTTTCTAGAGTCCTATTAGTCTTTCGCAGCTATTTTAATGTATAGTGCAGAAACCGTTTGGCTGTGAACGTCTGAACCAGTCTACTTCTGGATTTTCGAACCTACCTTAAAAAATGCTCGTGATACATGGGCCACAACGTAGGTATTAGTCAATCATCCAATTGATCATATTGTGTCCGCTGTTTTCAAATAAGCCGTATTTTATGCTGTTTTTGGTATGATCACCAGCATGCAAGCAAAATGCTCAATCTTAGGATCTGAAATGAAAGAAATACGTTTGTTATACAGAAATTTTGTACTAAACAATGTTATTTTCGTTTAAATTAGGTTTAAAGCAACTGATGCATTACCAGATACAGTTTTGACATGAATGCAACGCATTACTCTGTGGTGATGGATTCGTTACGTACTTTAGCTTATGTATAAATGCAGTGGATTTGCATTTCAGTTATACATTGGACATTGAGCCGGTCAGTTGCGACGAAATGTTCGTTGACCTCGAAGAGTTGTGCCGCTCGATGCCGTGTCAACCGACGGAGGTTGCAAATTTCTTTCGTCATGAAATTCGAAATCGCATAGGCTGTTCTGCTTCAGCTGGAATCGGTTTTGTACCTTGTTTTGAGAAATCAACGCTATCATCGATTGCGTTTTAGGTCCCAACAAGTTGGTGGCAAGGCTAGCAACAAGGAAAGCGAAGCCAGACGGCGTTTTCCAAGTATCTGGCGATATGGTGGGCGATTTTATGAGCGATTGTTTGCTGTCAGATATTCCAGGTTAATCCATTTTAGAAGAGATTTATTTAGAAATCAGGTCTGCAAGCTAAGTCGAAGGAAACCATTCAGTTTACTTAATCTTTTTTCATCAAAACTGGACAACTTTATGGTCACCGCATAATTCCAACGGAAGTTTGACATCATTTTCATGCGCTGGGTGCTTCATGGGATTGTCGTGTATCAGTCAGTCAGTCAGTTAGTCAGTCAGTCAGTCAGTCAGTCAGTCAGTCAGTCAGTCATGCAGTCAGTC